TATAAATTTTGTAAAATATTTCAAAATAGTTTACTATACAAAATTTCTATTAGTTTTAATAAGAAATAACAAAAAAGTTAAATTAAAATTAAAATAGAATAATCTTAACCAGTAAAGTAGTTTATAATAGACTGTGCAAGATATTAAAACATACCAATAATTATAACTTTTGCTATAAAGAATTATCAAAAGAAAAAACTGAAATAGTCTATGATAAAAATTATAGTCCTTTATATAGTAAAAAATAATTTATCAACATCAAAAAGGTTAGTTTTATTTCAAAATTAATTTTAATGAGTAAAAATATATAAAAGATGTAGTTATAGATTAATTTAACTAAATAAAGTGAAATTACTTTTAAAAAATTAATAAATTGGACTAAATTAAAATTAAAATAATATATAATAAATAAATCTAACATATTTAAAAATAATAAATAAAACAAAAAAATACAAAACAAAAAAAAATATAAAACTTAATAGACTATTTATTAAATTAAACATGAGTTATCCTTTTTTTTTTTTTTTAAACGGATTTACAATCATAGGATGGGATTTTAACCCTAAACTTTGGACCGAGGGAATGCACATTACTACACCGTTTATCGTTAGGCTTACAGCCCAAGCGCGAGATCCAGACACATTAGAATTGGCAAAAACCAATATTTAGCCCTTATTTTGTAAAATTGGTAGGTTTTAGCCCCTCACCTTATAATATGACAATTTTTGCCTTTTATCTTACAAAGTTGGTAGGTTTTAACCATTTATCTTATATTATGATATTTTTAGTGCATCACCGATACGAATTAAAGAAAATAACCCTCACCTAATATCAGGTTATAACGTTCTGTTAATTGACTATTAACATCTGTTAGCATTCCGTTATAAAAAATATGAAATTTAAATTTAATTTTATTTGTTAATTTTAGGTTTAAGTACCATTTTGGTCCCTTAACTTGTCACTTTGGTACCAAAATTGTCCCTCAGCTTTAAAAAATACCAAAATTATCCTTAAACTTTCATTTTCGGTACCAAAATGGTCCTTCCGTCAGTTAAATTACAGGTGGCACGTTAAAATGCCAGCAAATCAAT